GATGCAAGCCGAAGCTGTGACTATTAACAATCCTAAGTAGAAGAAATTTCCATGAGAGTCGAAATGGCTGGCCTTGGCCTTCTCTTCAACGTTTCCTTTGTAAAAGGGAACTTACTGAAACTTGAAGATGAATGAGATTCTCTTAGAAAGCTTAGTTTGAGAACAGTAATAGTTTTGTTACGATTTAAAACCGAAACTCTAAAACCAGGCTGGATTCCAATTCTCCAAGTTACTACCAGGTCCAGTGCTCATTGTTCTTGTTTTGAAACAATTACTTTTGAGGCAGAGTCAAGCTTCTTTTTTCCCTAATTAAATAATGAATCATTAAAAGTAAATGTCAAACAGAGACGAAACAACACCAGTGCTGGTTAGTAAAATTTCAATTCAAATTATGTAATCCACAAATAAATGAAATGATCTCGCCTATCCGTATTGGTGCGTCTATGCATCACATATCTGAATGTGTACCTTCTTAGTCCTGAGTCCCCGATGACATCATGGCGATCTTGATTTTCTGAAATTGGTCGAACTAAGAGAACACTCTACTCTTTGCCACCTTCTTGGCTTCGGCTTCACTCAGATACCGAACTCCGTTCTCATGTAACCATTTGCCACCTCTGCTCAGACCATCCTTCTCTTGCTTCTCTGTCATCTTCAGCACTGTAAGACTCTCACTTAGTTTAGGGAAGAAACCTTCGGGTCTAACACACCATGCCCTGAAAACCCCATATAGAACCTCCATGTCCTCTTTAAACCTTTCGACTCCATCACTAGAAAACTTTACATTCGCCATCAAAATGCTGTTGAAGAACAACCTATCTATCTCTGAGGCTAGACTCCTCCACATTGCCGTAAAGTCTGCTTTGTTTAGATTTTCTTCTATTATAGACGTTTTTCCTTGCAAGTAGTCTAGAGCCCCAACTAGTGCTCTCGACACCGTCCATTCTTTGTCTCTCTTCTCCTGCCATTGCTTTCTGTTTTTCATGTAGTCTCGAGTTCGAGCATCAAAGCCTCTCAAGACCACCACAGACAACTTGTTTATCCACTCGAGCCGGAACTTCTCCAGCTTCTCAAATTCATCTCCGAAAATACCTTCAGAATCAGAAGGTTCTGTAACGTTCTCTACTCCTGGAGCTTCTTGTGGATTGTGCTCTCCAGTTCCCATTTCAAGAAAAAAGACATCCTCACACCATTCTTCTAAGACAGATTCAATGTAGTGACCAGCATTGATAGAGTTTGAGACCTTGATAAGATCGTTGTTTTCGGTTAAAGCAGTTAGTCCTTCGGCTTCTTGGCACCTGAAAAGGAGGCCATCCAAGAATTTCTGAATTGTTGGGGAGGCTGCCAGTCTCAGGAACCTTGCCCTCAAATAAATGGCCGGCACTGATTTGGACCGCTCGATTATCGATGACAGGTGCTGCAGAAAAATGCTCGAAACAATTGGTGGTCTGTAAACGCTGGAAGTGGAGATAAGTTCGTCTTGCACCTTCACTGTCCAGTTTCTGTCGTAATCCATTTCCACCTTGAGTTTGACGAGCCTCTCATCTAACTCTATCTCTGCCCATAAATCGAGCCAGTCAGGTCTGTCACAGAAAACTGAGAGAGAGGATATTCTCAGAAGGTTCCAGTCTTCTTGAAGCGAAAGTATTCCTGATTGAGATACCAGAGACTGAACTCGCTTATCAAAAGAGATCATCAGGTCAACGAGATGGAGCCACGAATTCTTAGCCTCAGAACAAAGATCAGCTGCGTTTGCTTCATTTAGCTGACCAACATATATAGGGAATATCTCTTTCACCAAGTACAAAGACAGTGAGCTTACCATAGCCGAAACCCACTCTTCTCGGCAACTGTACCCAGCTAGTTTTGCTTCATCAACAAGCGGTTGCAACAACTCATCCATAGAATCCACGTAGTCCCTGGTGATTTTATACACAAGGGCAAAAATGAATTCGGGCTTTTCGCTCCACTTTGTAAAATGCCGTTGAGATGCAACTGTCAGAGGGTTGACCAGCTCTTCAATAGCCCAGAGTGGCTGGTGGAAAAGAACATTTTCTCCTTTATGGCTTCCAAGTTGCCGCGCCTTTCTTTGCAACTGCAATCCCTGCAGGCTGCACATGGCATGGAAATTTCCACAGTATTGACTTTTGAGGTTCCCTTCCATGTTGAAAAGCGGATTTTGGACATCTTCCGATTTTGAATCAAGATTCGGTGAAGTTAGAGTAGAAAGCTGAGGTGGCCATCCAAGAGAAGAAAGCAACGTTCTGTAATCAGCAATTGCATGAGGTCTCAGCATGGCTAAAGCTCTATCTACTCTGTGATCAACAACAGACACAAGACGTGCCCACCGAGGATGTCTCCTTGCCACAACATTCAGTATTTCTTCTGTCTTTTTAAGTGTTTTGATAGCATATAGACGCACTTCCTGAGGTCAGAAAAATTTAGGACATTGATAACCCACATACGGTCGAAGAGAGTTATACAGAATACTCAAACTGAAGACAGTGTGCTTACTTGAAAACTGCTTGACCGAGATGTTATCAAGTTTTTATTCAAAGAAGACATGACAGCATCCTCGATCTCACCCACAAGAGTGTCAAGTTTCAGTGCAGTCTCTGAAACATTGAGAAACACCCTCAAAGACTAAACTAAGAAGGAAGATAGGAAATTCCATATAAACTAGACTATCTAATCTTGATCAACCCATCATAAACAAGAGTTGATAACATAAGGTCATTGTTTATCAGAATCCATCCGACGATTTTCCAGCCATAAAATGCTAAACACCAAAAAAAGCAAACTTACCAGCATAAGCCCGAACAGACTCAACTTGTGCTACTTCCTTCGCCAGTGATGGAAGCTCCTCCCCAGCTACATGCTCCTGCCCGCCAACTGAATCAACAAGGATTCTCAAAATTTTGGTCGGCATTGCAACCACCAGAAACCGAATTTTCTTCTTTGACTAGAATATTTCACCATCATAAATAATCATACGAACCTGACGCGGAGCGCACAACACATGTAGAAGAAGAGAGATCAGCCAACTTGGCATTAACCCCGACAATTAGACCACCGACGCGATCCGAAAACGAAGCGTGAGCAGCGAGACCGGACTCGAGCTGGCGATTGAGCGCGGCCAATCTCTGATCCAATTCGGAAATCTCAGTCCGTAAGTCGGAAACCAGAGCCGGAGACTGGGAGAGATCCGTGGCTTCTCTGAAGCTTTCGTCGAGGAAGTTAGAGACCGAAACGGAGAAGCTCGAGATCTTCGGAAGTGGTTTGATCGCGTCCATTCGCGGTTCGTCGTGGCCTCAGTTTCATTGAAATCAATGAGAAGAGGACGATACCGAGTCAATGACTCGGAGAATTAACGAGTTGATTACTCGGATAAATGGGCCCTAATTTGGCCCATCTTACTTTCTTCTCTACTAGTCCATCAAGGGACAAGAAAGCACATGGGATGGATCAAAATTTCATATAACATTCTCTCTCAATAGCTAACCTCAACACCAAACAATAACCTAATATAACTCTCTAAACTTTAATGAAATGGTAAAAACCAAAAGACCCTAAGCTAATAACTGA